GTTATTGCAAATAATATAGACAATTCAAACACTACCTGCAAAAATCTGTATTGGATGTACCCCTGCTTACTGAAACTTTAATATATCAGATGACCTATTTATCCCAAGTTATCAGAAGATACTTAGAACCTCCAGAAGAAGACAGCTTGTAATAAACAGGGACTAAGTCAAACACCATTCAAATTATGGGGGCTGAAAAATAATTTTGAATATAACCCTGGGTAGAAATATTTAATGAGTTTTTATTGGATTTGGCTTCTTGCAAAAACAGGCAGGGGAAATTTTAGAAGTGCCCTGTACAACCCCAGCTGTTCTTATTAATGTCAACAACAGCACAGCATTCAGTATTTCTGAAAATTCCCCGTATTACAAGAGTTTCCCACAATGCAAGAGTTTTTATAGACGAGCTTCTCGGTTCTAACTTGTTTATCAGTTTAGGAGTACACACGGAATCCAAAGGATACACAGGCTTCAAAAGTATATACATTGAACAGATCAAGGTAATACAAGAGAGAAAATATCACCTTCTGGAAATTTTATCCTTTATTTGCCAAGAGTAGTGACAATGTTTAGAATGGGATACTCCTACCAAACATATCTGATGACTATGGTTAGGTAAGCAATATTATTTTAAGCACTAAGAACAGAAAATCAGATTTATACATGTTGCATTGTACATTTACTCGACCTAATTATACTTGCAATAGAAAAGCTGAGAAAATGGACATTCCAAGCATGACAAAGGCTGTTATCTCTACTATTAAATCAAATGGACCTGGGAAAACTCTAGGCATTGAAGCCAGCTGGCATGGAAGGGACCTTGTTTAGTCCAGTAAAGACTCTTAGCCTCTACAATGTGACAGCTGGATACGAACTGGTCCCTGGGACTTTCCAGCTTCAAAACCATGCCAGGGAATTGTCTGGAAGAAATCTAGATGGCACATGCCAAAGTCATGCCAGAGGACAGTCTAACAGTTTGCTAGTACAAATGGTTGTGGCCCAGCACACAGGAAGACTCCTGGTCACCTCTTTGTGGTTTTCTAGAGCAGGTGTAGCCTCAGAGGCCATCAGAATCCTAACAGATTACCAGAGAAGATCTGGTACAGATCAATGTTAAAACTAAAGTTACAGATTGGAAGCAGCAACCACAAGACAGAGTAAAAGTAATTCCAGGTTCCAAACAAAGGTTTTGGTGAAGCCCATGCCATTTACAGAAGGTCAGATAGTAGCTACTGTACTTCTTTCAGATACATGGCATTACATTATAGTTAGCATAGTCACTAACTCGAAATCATACTACTGTAGCTCACTATGCTAGAGCATAAGGGATAATCAGAGATGTAGTCCTTCTACTACTGAAGACTACTGAAGACTATTTGCTTGTGGTGCCACTCTAACTGAATACAGCACACTCATATATTCCACAAAGTGTAACTCAACATGATGGCTTTCACTTATGAGATTCTAAATGCAACGAGTCTTAGGTTATTAAAAAACCACAAAACAACAACCAAACAAACCTTTGTTTCATTACAGTTGTCAGCAATTCAAAAGCACAACACATGTTTATGAGGGACACAACATTTGGGGGGAAGAATCTCTCCAGAAATTCTTTCCAATTCGGTGTGATGCAACTAGAGTCCATACAGGAAAACCTTCAAGAGTTACCTGTTCTGATTTCAAATAAAGGTTGAAACTTAGGAATTCAGAACTGAGATGAAGGGAAGGAAGGTATCACTAATTCTGAACAGAAAATAAATTCTATTTTTCATTTATTTTCTAATTTAGTATAGGATATTATTTACCCTTTTTTTATAAAACGAAGCATATATACTAGATGGGAGAATATCTGCATATTTCAGAAAGAGCTCACATGTAAAGAAGAAAGCCTGAAACAATAGCTCTAAGGTGTAAACTATCAAATTAATCTCTGTGGATGCTACTTAACCTGCTGATTATGCTGTGGCATTAACAATTAAGCTATCTAACAGTCTAGTGAAATACTCTTCTGGGAGAAAACAGACATTGATCTGACTTTTCTCTAGAAGAGGAGACATTTGGACTCAAGTCCTCAAAAGCCCAAGAGAGCTCTAATCAGTGTCACACTGCTTAAAAGTCCCGCTTCCCGTCACTGACCTGGAGTAGGTATACAGATCCAGAACAGTGTTCCCAGCTATTACCTTCAAGCAGAGACAGATATTTCCCTAAAAGATGATCTTAGACAGCTAACTATTTTCAAGGACAAAATTCAGGCTATACACTTTTCTTTATTATTTCCTACTGTCTAGCTAGACAGCTTCCCACACAAAATACTTCTGGGACTAGGACCTGGAGGACAACAAGTTGAGCATGAGCCAACAATGTGCCCTCGCAGCAGAGGGCCATAGATTTCTTGGACTGCATTACCAGCAGGCCTAGGCACTGGTGAGAGCCCACCACTGGTGAGGCACCAGTTGCAGGCTCCCCAGTAAAAGAAAGACATGGACATACTGGAGTGAGTCCTGCAAAGGGGCTACAAAGATGATGAAGGGACTGGAGCAATCTGTTGTACAAGGAGAGATTGAGGGAGCTGAGACTCTTCAGCCTTGAGAAGAGAAGGCTCAGACGGGTTTTACCAATGTGTGTAAATACCTGATGAGGGGACTAAAGAAGATGGAGCCAGACTCTTCTCAGTGGTGCTCAGCGAAAGGACAAAAGACAATAGGCACAAATTGAAACACAGGAAATTCTGTTTAAACCTAATAAAAAGCTTTTTCTTCTGTGCAGGTTGCCCAGTGAGTTTGTGGACTTTCCATCCTTGGAGATATGGTCCTGGGCAAGCTGCTGTAGCTGGCTCTGCTCTGAGCAGGGGGATTGGACTAGACAATCTCCCAAAGTGATTTCATGAAAACTATTATCAAGTACACAGTCTTTAAAAATATTTTCCCCTTTATTTTACCTGTAACATTGAAATACCATTATAACTGTGCTAAAAAATGCTGATCTACTTGCAACGATGTATCAAAAACATACAAATTTTAAAATTATACAAATGGATTAGAAAAAAGTAATTCAGACTGTGAACTGTTTCTGCACTATTGTTTTAAAGAGCAATACAAAAAAATGAACTGGGAGAAAGAGCTGCATTAATATCATGCTGTAACACTAGAGGCTGCGGTCCTAGGAATGGAAGCACAACGTGAACAAAGCTGTTCTCTATAAATGCTGAATGCCATATCTATTACCATATTGGGTAAACTGTGCTTCAAAAAGTCAAAGTTATTTAGACAAATATTGAATTGGCCTCATTTTGACCATGTCCACAAACACTTCTTTATGAATACTGAGTGTAATTTAGTGAATACTTGCTTTTAAGAAGGACTTTTTTATAAGATTGTCTGCGAACTCAACCCTTAACAGAAAATGAAAAGGAGAAGAGAAAAGATATTATCCAAATATCCCATTTGGGTCTGAGTGCTTATCAGAGATATAAGCTCCTGGCCACAGGGAAGACATAGGAGATACTTGACATTGATGTTTATACTCTATTGTCACTGAAGGCCTAAAAATGCCTCCTAAAAATCCTGAGCACCAAAACAGCGTCAAGAAACAAACACAACATATGCTTTCACTGATATCATTAGTAGTAATATATTGCATTCATACAGCAGTTTCAGACCTTATGGTGTGACCTGGTTTCAGCTGGAATAGAGTTAATTTTCTTCCTAGTAGGTGGTACAGTGCCGTGCTTTGGATTTAGTACGAGCATAATGCTGATAACACACCCATGTTTCAGTTGTTGCTAAGCAGTGCTTACACTAGTCAAGGACTTTTCAGCTTCCCATGCTCTACCTACTGAGAAGGCTGGAGGTGCACAAGAAGCTGGGAGGGGGCACAGCCA